CTTGTAACTTATAATTTCGCCAGACTTCGTTAACTAATTAAAGCGAGTGCCTAACCGTATGCATTATTTGCGGAAATCCCCGAAAATGCGTTTCGATTTCAATCAAAGACAATGTAAGGTTGCCATTCGGTAAAAAAATAAAAATACTACCTATGACGTAATCATCATCTAGACTCCCCTGCTCTCCATGTCACCCAAAATAAGCCAATCAATAACCCCCCCCCCCCTATAGTGCTTACGTAATACTTGAACAGCCACTATTTTAAAAATTTCATATTTTTGAAAACTTAAATATTTTTTGTATACTGACATTTTTTGAAATTTTTCTTTTTCAATCTTGAAATTTATTGAAAGTTTTTGATACCCATTTATATCGGTTGATCCAGACTGTCAAAAATATCTGATTTGACCAAAATTCAGCATTGAAGTATATTTTATAATAGAAGAATTTTATAGACTTGTTATATTATTTACATTAATTTTTGCAATTTTTGCTCTTGCCTTTGACGCCAGGACAAAACAAAGAAATTTGTCAGATGTGGTTCTTAAAGCAAAGTATTTGGGAAAGTATTCGGCAGTTTTTCCTTAGAAGTCGAGTAGAATAATTTTCACTCCGGAGTAGAATGGTGAAAAAGATAATTTTATATTAATTGTTTAAAACCCAAGAACTCAACGTCAATCTCAAACGGGGTGATAGTAAAAAGAGCCCAATTATTGCTAACGCCAGCAAATAGCACATTTTTAAATTATTTTCTGGATCTCCGAAACCGCTGGACTTCTTCATTACGTCAATACAAGTGAAATATTTTATTCTTACCCTTCAAAAAGTTAATAAACAAATATATAATAAATAAATCCAATTTAAAAATAAATAAACTTAAATCGTTTGCGTCGCAAATTGATATCTTATCATATAACTAAACAGTATGAAATAAGATTCTTCTATTGTCGATTCAAACTATTGCCAATATTGAATTTAAAATAAATATTGTGGATTCTGCTAAAGCTTTAGAAAAATAATAAGACTGATAGAATAGGAGCACCTGATAGCCTCGATCATCTGCAATCCCATGTTGACGCAGTTGGCCGCGTGATGGGGCCGAGATACGGGCAAACCTGACACACAGTAATAGCAATCGCCCAAGATTTTGATCCTCATACATTGGTTTTCCTGGAAACAAGAAAAATGTACTGAAAACACTTTCGAATAGAATATCGACGGTGGCAGTAGATTCATAGTCGGTGGTGGCAATAATTGTACGATTCAACTAGTGGTGCAAAGTGCATTGCCTTACTTCCCGTACCAGAATTAAATATTCGAGAGAAAAAAATCAGTAATTAATAAATATTGATCAATGATTAATAACAATTGTTTCAAATATTTTCAAGTAAATAATTATAATCACTATATATTTTATCGTTAATAAAATAAACAGTGACGATCTTATCGCTCAAAACACTTGAGAAAGTTTACATTAGCAAGAGGTGCCGAATAAATCCATCTGAGGATATATTTCTTACTATTATAATAACGCATTTGATACGCATTTGATATACATTTTCAAACTGAATTGTAAATTTGAAATTTGACCAGGGCTTTTTCTATTTAACCCTTTGAAGTAGGGAATACAATTGTATAAGTACAAATACCTGTAACTTATAATAACTAGAGAGACTAGCAAATGTAATGAGAGAAGGAAGTTGTAGAGTAAAGTTTAATATATATCATAAACTAAATAGTGGTTTTATTCACATATATTATGGTGATGGAATATTTATAATTTACAGTCCACTCAATATCAAATTAATCACAGTGATCCTCAATATATTTTTGAAATATTTGAAATTTTTTTTTTCTGAAAATTTGGAAATTTGCAAGTAAACTTAAAAAAAACAATCTTGGTACGGACCCAACAAAATTGTAACAATATTAGTACTGATTTTTTAAATTTTTATCAAATATTTGATATTTTGATGATCATATATATAATGATAATTTTTTACTGCCAAATATCACTTTTTAAGTTAATTAAATATTTGAGGTACAATAAAATATTTCATAACAATATTGACCCTTTTCTACGGTGTTTTTCGCAGGATACTGCTGTACAGAACAGCGAGCAGAGAAGCGCTACAGACACAACATCATATTTTAAGAATTTTCTATCATTATCAACAAAACTATATTTAAAAATTAAAAACACATTTCTATGAAAATAAGAATTACAATAACAAATTAGAGTTATTATTAGTTTATTTCAGAGTCATAAATATATCATAGTCTATTGACTACACTCGTAGACTTAGGTAGCCATGTGGATTAATTTATTGATTATAAAATAAATTATAGTTATATGTTATATATGTATAGGAATTATAGGATAAGTTTATTATTTTTACGAAATCTGATTATTGATCCAAATGCAACAAACCCAGCAAATTGTTACTCTAATTGTCTATTAAACTCTTTTTTTATTTTCTTTTTATTTTATTGATATACTATTTTCATATCACAGTCAGGCAGGAGTGCCTGGTATGAGAGATTATGAAAACAGTTACCATAAAATTAAACTCCTGATTTGAGAAAATCAATTATTTAATGTGTGTCTAAATGTATACAAGTCAAATATAATTTAAAAAAAAAAAAATGTGGATTTTGCCCAATATAACAATATTTTATAATTACTTAATTAATTTACCAATTTATCAATTATTATATTATTTATTATTATTTAGTATTTATCAAATACTTTTCTTGCTAGTAATTTCGTTTTGTTATTTGGAAATTCTAATTCTAAAAGTTTTGTTATTCAAAAATTCTAAAAGAAAGGTAATTGATAAATGCAACACACATTAGTTTATATTTATCACAAAATATTGTTTTATTGCCTTTCAATATATATTGATTTTTTTTAACTTCAAATATTATATTTGACTGGTATCATTTAGACAATCAATGAATAATTGATTTTTTTTAAACTAAGAGTTTAATTTAATTCAATAATACATAACTATGAGATATAAAATATGACTAATAAAAATTCAAGATATTTCAAGATAACCACTTTAAAACAATTTTACGAAAGAAATAGATTGTAGTAGATACTTATTAGATGCCAAGTCTCCTAAGACTTGATAAACTTTATAAAATATAGAGAAAATATTAATATAATCCACTAAAGTTATTGATAGTTTTTATTTTTACTTCATTCAAATTAAGAAGTTCAAATTTTAAAATTCTATTTTCATGTTCCTTACTTACTTACTTAAATAATCAACTATCTCTTGATATTGAATTTCTTAAATTTGCAAAAATCATTGCATTTAAAACAATTATTTTAAATTCGAAAAGATACGAATAAAATTTGAAAAATCATTTCATTTAAATCTATTATTTTAAATTCAAAAAGATACGAAAAATGATTCAGAAATTCCTAAAAAACCATATTTTATTGTCTCAATTTATATTGTTGGAATTTCATCATAGACCTGATAATAAATATTATAAGGTTTAAGGATTTCATCCGAGTTTTGTGACATTTCCATTCCATGATTTTCTTATTTTTAAATAAATGATTGTGCAAAACTTATACCATGTTGAAATACATGGAACCAAATTCAATGATTTTATATATGTATATGTAAACATAATATAATTTCACAAAAGTATAAATGATTGAGAATTTTCTTTGACTGAAATAGAAAAATTGTACTAAAGTTTTCAGATACAATCTAAGACAATTTATTTCCAATTACATTTAGAAATTAAAATTTTGTTAAAAATGATTATAAATATTAAAAGAAAACATGTGAACTATTTTGCAGTAATAAAAATGCACGGTATGTTATAAAATCAACAATAAAATCAAATCTAAATTCATAATATATTACCTATGACAAAAAAAAACAGAAACTGATCATGCACATTCATTAAAACAAACATTAAAAATATTCAAATATTGGAAATGGTTTTACATTTGTCATAAATTTTTTATTGTCTGCATATAAATTGTAGATATTCGGCTAGCAATGAATATTTATGAAATAATAAAATTTTGATCTATTGTAAACGATAAATGTCATTTGCCGAAGCTCAATTTGCATGTGCGCAAAACTAGTTCACGATAAATGTGGGAGGATAAATTCATGTCAGCATTTTTGACGGAGAATTGGATTAATACATCAGGATACTGTCAGAAAAATACACTTTGAGATTATAAAATAATTAAATTTTTGAATGAAATAATTAATTTGATAATCGCATTTGATACCTTTAAATCCGTTCTTCATGCTGTAATAAGAATATTTTAACTATTCTTATATGAGTAGCTGCAAGAGATGCACATGGGGCAAAGGTTAAGTTAATTGAAATTTGTTTTAAAATATTTTTTAATTATTGAAGGAGATGTTTATGCTTTTCCAGAAAATTAGATTTGTTAATTATATATATATATATATATATATATATATATATAATTTATTTCTCATTGGTTATATAATTTAGCTATTATTTCGGAAATTCATTTAAAATTAAGAATAAGACTTTGTATATGTTTGCGCAGTGGCAGTCCCTTTTCACCCAGGCCATGGGGTGAAAAAGAAAAGATGATAAATTTTAGAAAAATAGCTAAAAAACATATTTCTATAATTAAAAAGCGGTTGAATCTAACTAAAATGCCTCTACTTTTAAATATTGTTGTTAAAAAATTTCTAACTTTACTTGTTTTTGAGATATTGGTAGTGAAACTTTTTACCCGTGGACGTTTTGAATCCAACTTAAAAATCCCTCTACTTTCAAAAATTGTTATTGAAAAATTCCTAACTTTACTTGTTTTTGAGATATTGGTAGGACCTTTTACCCGCGGACCTTCAAGCCCCCCTTTTTCCCTATAATTTTTTCGACTATATGTTCATATGTCCCAAGAAACAAAATTATAAAATATTTTTTGACCAATAAGAGACAGTAAGATGGACATTCAAAAGTGACAAACGAGTAGAAGTCTTTGAGATCCCCGACAATTTTCCAGATATTTTAAATCAATATGAATTGTTTGGGACTAAATTGAAAAAAAGTATGTGCGTTTGTATATATTTAAGCCAAAATTGGACCTTGTAATTGGTATCTTTTCTCATTAATTGTGGAACCGTATTAAATGCATCATCGAGTAAAATATCCCATTCAGCATCGCAATATATGAGCTTATAAGCATTTCAGAAGTATTTGTACTGTAAAAACCAAACGACATACATCCCAGCAAATAACACATATCAAACTATCAGATATAGAAATATTATGCTCAGAAAATTTCTCAGTTGTTGCCTAAATATAGAAATATGTTTATATGCTATCAAACTGATGACGAAAAATTAAAATCAATTCAAATCAATAATTTTTTTGGTGAATTGCGATAAGCATCCGCGTTGATTAATTCAGCCAGACAATCGGCAAAGCCGTTTCTTCATAACAAGCAAATAAGTATATAAGCCAAAAAATCTGAACCAATTTTAAAAATTAAAATACTGTTCGAAAGTTATCAGATGGAAATTGAGCTGTAATCGTGTATTTGTACAAAATTGAATAATCCCTACTCAGAGGGACACAGGACTAATATAGTGACATCATCTAAGAATTCTGCAAGATAATATCATTGGTTCTGATCCCGTTGTGGTGTAATGGTTAAGATCGTGGGTTAGCACAAACTAGTCCCGGGTACAATCCCAACATTGGCCAGTTCGATATCAAGCAGTATGATATCAAATTTCTATTTTAGGTTGAAGATCCCAAATATAATTTTAAGTAAAACTCGCCTTTTGTGGGCATATGTATAACACATATAGGCAAGACTATTAGATAAACATATATGGTATATGAACATGAAAAAAGAATGTTGGACCAATGAGTTACTCTCTCCAGAAAAAATGCTATAATAAAAAACTGATTGCTGTTGAAGAAAATATCACTGGTTTTCAAGAACCTAAGTAGGTCTTCAGACTATATTTGAAATTAAAAATATCTCATGTCCATTTACTGCTACATATTGCTTATTTGATAAATTTCAGTGTATGTCTATAACCATTCTAGGTTATATTTTCACCTAGCACTGTTGAAAATGTAATCGGCGAAGTACGAATTGGATCCCCGTATTTACTAAATAAATATTGAACTGTCTGATATATCACATCGGAAATTCGATATGTGCAAGCAAATATATTTGTATTCGTTTATGAAAGCCATCGGTTTAGTCTTTTGTTTACTATATAAATACTTTATTAAATCTATTTGATGAGTGAGCCAAAATTTGACAAAAGTGGTTTGCAAATATGACAAAAATGTTGGGGATTATACTAACCATGCATAATACTTTTATAAACAATACAAAAATAATATTAGTTTACTCGACATTTTTCAAAAAAACAAAAATTCGTCACATGATAGTTTTCTATCAAATTTTGCAATATTCTCTACAAGGTTTATTGAATTACGATCTATAATGCAATAACAATTTTCACGATGCGGCTTTTACAATACTTTATTGCACTTGTATCAACCATCCGTTATTTTCTCCTATAAGCTATAACACTCAAAGGCCATAAATCTGGTTTATATTCACTTATAAAAATCTTTATGTTCTAGAATTAAATTACAACGGGTAAGAAATACATGAAATGGTTGGAAAAATACAAGCTTGCTAAGAAAAAATTAGAATAAGAAACAAAACAACTTCCAACATAAATTTATATTAAATTTTAACTATTTTGTAATGAATTCTTCTACTAAGTCATAGAAACAAATTTAGCTGTTTTATTCGTTTTTTGAAACTTATAGTCGGCGTGACTAGTGTGTTAATCCGTACAAATGCAACGAAAGTGCGTTACGGCAGATAAGAAAAGATAAGAGTAGAGTGCTAACGATTCATCATTCGCTCTTAATGATATCATTCCTATATGGGTCAATTGTGATTAGTCGTCGCGTATGTCGCGTATGAGATCTGTCATTGTATGCGTACCGGCATCAACGTTGTATGCGTACTGATATCAACAAGGAAATCGGCATAGATAAATAAACATTTTAAAGTTCCATCATAATAACGACCGAATTCCGAAGTTCCGAATAAATAACGACCTATTAATTTATACAGAAAAATAAAAAAGACCCTTTTCACTATTATATTATTTAAAACCTTCAGATGCAGCGTTTTCCAATTTAGCAAAAAATTACTGATTTAGCACTAAATTGATCAACTTGAGAATGTAATTATCAAAAAATTTTATTTATTTACATTACAATTCATCCAACTGAATGCTACAAACAGTGCTATAATGATACTTTAGTAAGTAATAGGTGAAGAAGTGAGTTTTCTCACCTGCGCAATTTGATCAAATCTTCCAAAGAGCTCGTTCAATGTTTTTACTAAATCCGATGCACTCAACTTCTCTGACAAAGGCGTAAAGTTCACAATGTCTGCATACAGAATGCTGTAATGGGATTAAATAATATAGAAATGTTAATAGAAAAGTAGATTTGATTTGATGAAATTATCGATAATAATTTGAATTGATTATATAAAAAGGTCATGTTAAATAATAAATTGTTCCATTAAAAAATTGATCCATTTATGGCAGTAACTTTGAACAATTTTTGCTATTCACAATTTTCACACGTGAACAAGGTTTTTGTATAGAATTTTGTCTTACATGATCATTTTTGACATAGGAGAGGACGGGACACAAAGGTCTAATTTGACTTCAAGCAAGTATATTGTACAAACCAAACTAATTATATCACAACAAATTACACATGTCAAACAAACAACTATCTGACTATGTTAAGTTGAACTCCTCGCTAATTCATCATTGTAAAATGTGTTTTTTCGCTGGTTTTCAAAAATTTGTAACTTGGTCCTTTCTACTTTTTGATTTGCTAGGGCAAAGGTTCTATTGATCATTTTTAGTTCAGCCAGGACTTTAACTTAAAATTAATAAAACATTTTCATAAAATTCATACAATTAAATAATAATAAACACAACAACAGTGCTCAAAACCAAAAAATCTAACGATGAAAGAAAATACTTTTGTTATGGATTTTGAAACATTGCCGTTTTTTTTTCTGATAGGAACGTCATAAGAATCAAGGCGATGGCTGGTTATACATCTTTTTCCTTCTTCTTTCAAATATTGCTGTTAAAAAATTCGCAACTTTACATATTTTTGAGATATTGGTGGCGGACCTTTTTACTCCTGAACCTTTAAGCCCTGTTCTATCTTATGCAATTTATTGATTTCAATTAATGAAAAATACCAATTAAAAACAGGCCAAAGAATCCACCGGTAAAAAAGGGGACTTGAAAATGGTTTTTGTAATTAGGTGATTTTTTTTTAATAAATATGTTATTATAGTTTCTGTTTAATTAAAGACTATGTTACAATCTATAAATCTAAAATGAGAAAAAATGATTGAGACTGATTATAATATCATTAAATAAACATCATACAAAAATATAACACCATGTTATTTTGTACGTACCTTCTCTATTTTTTAAGTTTTCAAAGGAACGACCAAAATACAAATTAATTCATTATATGACTCCTGTCGATTTGTAATAGTATAGTTTTATTATAATTCATCTAAAACTAATATATCAATTAAGAAGTAGAAGTACGGACAAAATGGCAGTATTTTGTTCTCCAATAATATTTTTTTGTTTAATGTTATAACCAGTCTCAATCGTTTTTACTCAGCATTGGATCATTTATCATCAGTGATTGAGTATTAAAATTAAGTTGGAACTATAATAACATATTTTTATAAAGAAAAAATGCAATTTGTTAAAAAATCCATTTTGTCCATATAGTACGAATAAAATGACATAAAGAGCAAAATAATGACCACTGCGACAAGACTGTGACAATGACGCTTAACATCTGACAAAACTCTTATTATAGCTTTTTTCATGTTATATAGTCGTTGAAACGTTAAAAAAACTAGCCAATTATTAAAAAAGGTCACAGTATCATTTCGTCCATATATATACCATTTTGTCCGTATTTTCCCTATTTGTATTTTATACAATAATCAATTTCGACATAAAGTGAACTGTTATGTCCAAACTTTAAACATTGATCCAAGCTCAATTATTACCATTGGGAACTTTCGAGGTGATTTTACGAGCAGTTTGCTTTGCTATCCCACTATGCAAAAGCTTTCGCATTTAAACTAGAAGTCAAAGTCATTCAAATGCAAGTCACCATAAAAAGTTTGTCGTTACCTGACATTGTTGTGTCGTTGCACATGCATTTCATGGAAACGAGCTGCTGCACCTGAAGTGTTGTTCTCAGGTGTCTGACAGGCGTCTGCCATCTTGAGCATTATACTGCGTTTCACCTGAAAAAAAAAATAATAAAAGTAAATTATCCGAGCAAATATCTATGAAATTTGTAGACCGAAATATGCCGAACAAAAGTGTTGCCTCAAAAAATTTACCATCAATTGAAGGATTGGAAAGATGAAGAACGACAAAAACTCGAATTTGCAAGTATTCGATTTTTTCATTTATGTAAGTAATTCTGAACTGTTTGTATAATAGTGTATGGCATGTGTGTGTATCAGAAATACAAATTTTGCATTTTATCATCTGGTATTACTACCTATATCCTATATGTTGCATCAAAATACCCTACAAAAATTTTCATTCAAAACTTGTTTGTTATAATTAGTAAAATCTTTTTTATATCTATAATCTATAAAATTGCTTGTTGAAATTAGTAATAATATTTCTTATATCTACACTTTTTTTTCAATACTAAATATTTAAAATGTTCGTTTTGTAACTCAAAACTGTTGTTTAGCTATCATTCAAGATTGAGATGATTTTTTAATTTGAACTGAAAGCAAAACTTTCTTAAACTCCAATCAATTAGATAGTTAGAAAATAAGAAACTTTTATATACAATTTAATAGCATTTTTGAAAAACTTCTAGCCTCTTGTCGTGTTAACTCTTTTAAATTAAATTAAATAAGTTTATAGAATAAATATTTATTTTTCACATTATATTTAATTAATTTATTAAAGAATTAGGTATTTTTAACTTCTCGTAGGGTAAGTTATAGTCATCGCAAAAAATCTAAAATGAAATTTTTTATATATAGTAACGTTTCAGAGGTTTCTGAACAATTTGGCATACCTTAGAAAAAATGTATGTATGTGTGTGTGTGTGTTTGCGGATACAAATTTTTGTCGACGATTTCGAGAATACGGATCCTATTAATGAGAAGACGTGCTGATCAGTTTTTGGCAAAGGCAAGTCTAGTCTTTTCGAAGATACGGGACAAAAAAAAATAGTAGATGAGTTTTCGAGAGATCGGAGCGACCTATTTGAATTATTCAGAGAACATTTTATTCGTATTGACAAAACAAAATATTCTTTAGATTTTTGCAAAGGCTAGTCTAGCTGTTTTGGAGATTGAGTGAAAAAAGTAAAAAAGAAGCCATTTTGAGGTCAAAAATGATCATTAGACATATGTACATCAAATTATCAGATATTTTATAGAGATGGGTACCGTACCCATGTTTAATCGTTAAACTGAGATGCAGCGCTGTCGCGCTTTGATATTTTATCTCTAACACAGGCATGCAGCACGATTGCTTTGAAAAAAGTTCAAAATTTTCAGAAAAATTCAATGTATAAAAAGTCTATTTTTTCAGAAATTTTAAAATACCCCAAAATCTTTTTTTGCAAAGCTTTTTAATTTTTTTTTTAATTTCAATTTTTGATACGGAAAGTTCCAGCAATTTGCCTTGAGGCACGATGCCATGCACCACTAGTTTATTAATAAATTAATAAATTATTTAATAAATCAATAGAGATTGATAGTTTCGTGTATTAAAATAATTACCCAACTGATGACAGCATTTAAAACCAAATATAAAAAATAAATTATGATACAGTTTCAAACGTTCCGAGACTATAATTTATATCATTGTCAAAGTAAAAATGAATAAACTATGTTAATTAGATATGGTCACAAAAATCTCTAATAATGTCGTGTGCAAATAGAATGACATTGATATATTCTTGTTATTTATTTATATAAACAGATATAAAAACATCATTCAAACTTCGACTTGTGATAATCGCGTAAAATCCTATTATTTACCAGTTAGGAGTTTTTGTTCTGAATCACATTCATAATCACATTTTGAGAGACATTGCATCTACATAGATTCCACGAATCAAACCTACATTTGAAACACTTCTTATATCATCCCTAATGAAAGCATTTCTTTCATACTAAAAATTGACATATCAAAAGTGTATAAAATTTTCCACGACTTTCCATACATTTATCGTCAGAGCATTTCCCACAATAAACATGAGGAAAATATACAACTCTCCATAGGGACCGAGTGCTACATTTAATCGTCCATGCAAAATTTCACAAGATTTCCGAGTAATTTTAAATATTAATGCGAAAAATGAACAAAGACGTTAAAAGGGGATAAAATACTCCTGAAGGAATATTGTTAAGTGCATGCACTCTATGCTTATTTTGTAAAATACTCTTCAAGGTATTACTTTAAAAGACTAAATTATAAACATTATTAATGAAGTCATAGGAAAGCATTTCCGTGAGGATTATGTATATAATTTTCAAACAAGTTCTAAGAGAAAATGAAGTTTGTTATTGATACTATATGGAATTTTCTTATTATTTATTGGTAAATGATGTTTATTATCTACTCAATACTGTACTGGATATTGAGTTTCCGTATCTACAAATTGTATTTTCTTTAAAATAAAAGTAAAGCCATTTTCTACCTTATAGAAACAAAACGGATGGAGCACAAACGTCAATATCAAATTTCCTTAAGGTAAATCGTAAATAGAGAATTATAGATAAATGAAAGCTATATACATGACATAGATAAACAAGTTTAAATACAAGTGATACATGATATTGACAATAATGTAATTTGAACTAAATTTGAAGAAAATACATGTTAGAAACAAAATATATTACGTCTTCTAAAAGGAAGAGAGAAGTTTTTGCATTGACAATTACATACCATGAAATTAAATTAGTAGGATCTCATCTATACATGTTACATTCGTTAATTTGCAAGTTATCAAGTTTTTGGATAGATGATAATTTTCTGCAGTAACTGCTAAATCATAAAAAATAAAAAGTGATTCTTCTACTTAACTGTAATATAACAATAATATAAAATTTTGAACAACATATCTTACACTAATTTTTCGGCTTTTTTTTTAAATTATGCTACTTTTCCAAAGTTTTTACAATGCTATGAAAAAGAACAGATATTATCTTGAAAAATACTAAAACACTATACTTTTTTTTTTATTTTTCTTTGTAATAAAACTTCAGACATTAGAGACTATGGTTTGCTTCATCATCAGTGTAAATATAAATATTTTTTTTCAATTAATATCGTCTTGGACTCTTCAACGAAACCTTTGCATATAGATTGACCTTAGTATATAAAGTGTTATTTTATCTACACAAGACAATATTTGAAGATTTCAAAATTTTGGCTTTTGCTACAGCATTTATCTTCTTATAATATTTTTAATTTCTTTGCCAAATATTATTTTTACTTTCAGTTGAACCGATTTCTAATACTTTCCAATCTAAGCTACAATTTTCCAATAAAATATTTTTCTACAATTTTATTCCAAATATTTGTCAAATTATTATATTATGAAAAATAACATTATTATCATAAGTAAATATTTTTGTTGTCACTTTGAGAACACATACGAGAAGTTGAACTAAAATTAATATCCTGACAAATTGGGCCATTTGAGAGTTTTTTATTCAACAAAAGAGACAATTAAGATAACATAACTATTTTATACTGAAAATTGACCCTTTATTGTAGTAATTTATATAAAATATAGTAACCGTACCCGTTCACGCTTCGCAGTGTTTTACTTTCAATTAAAAATTTGAACAAAAACGCATATTTGTTACATCTAGTCTACTAATTTTCTTGTCTTCCAATCTAATTGTCCATATAATTATCTGCCTACCTCTCTACCTGTCTACCAGTTTACCTGTCCACCTGTTTGTCATTCAACTAATATTCCAGTTCACCAATTTACAAGTCCACCAGCTTATTAGTCCACCAGTTTACCTGCCTAAAAATTCATTTGTCAACCTCTTTATCAGTCTACCAATTTAGCTATTCAACAATTTACCTTTTCTACAAATTTACCTGCCCATTTTAAACCGCAGTGCCGTGTAGGACTTATTTTAAATTGTAAACATATTTGTGGCCTATATTTTCCAGTAAAAATAAGATCACTACTGCATAATATTAGTTATCCAGAGTGGGGGGATTCACAAACCCACGACCCCGTCCACACGCGACAGCGCGCTCAACCGTTACGCCATGGAACACCATGTATTACAATATGAATGAGCAAAATTCACCTATTCAATAACAATAAACAAAAACAACCTCCATTAAACAGAAATATCAGACAATTTTCACTTTGAATGTTATGCCCGCATCGGAAATCGTCCCCGGAACAAAGGCCACACAATCCAGGGAAGGAAAAGTGCGAGATCATCTCGTAATCGGATCAAATGCAGCTCGGCGGCACAGCAAGAGAAGATTACATTACGCGGGCAACGGTTTCAGGGGGGGCTGATGGGGGGTTTCCCGAGTTCGGAACAAATCGCTATTGTCAAGAGCCCCGCGCGAAATCCAATTACACGGACCGCGGAAGTAAATAATAAAGGTGAATGTCGGACCAAACGATATATATCTCTTTGTAGTAGATTTAGATATTGCTTCTTCCCCTTTGATATAAATAAATAGAGCGTTTATCGCAGATTTATGACTCAATTCTACTCTAAAGAAGATTTAGCTGATGTTTGTTTTAAATTGCAAAACAAAATTATGATGCTGTGTTAAAAATTAATTTGATAACACATTGCTGTTATATTCAGAAAAACATTGAAAAATTTATGATAAAATTATAAATACAACGAAATTTTAAAGCAAAAGATTTTACTGTTAAAAAGCATTTACATTGAATAGAAAATCGCACTCATAAGCTTCTAATATATAAAATAATAGAAAGTGTGGACAATTAATTACCATTGATGATATACATAAAAATTTAATATGGGAATTGTAAACGACCAAGAGTGGGCTGCTGAGTCCCAACTGAGTTAATCGAAGCAAAAGTTAAGATTTTAAACCAGTTTTATATAAATTATTCAGAAAAATGTTATGACCTATTGAGGGACCATCATAACTCGAAAACATATTTTGAATCTACACTTGTTGTTGAATAAATGACTCAAAATATTAAATTTTATATTTTTAC